GTGCATTATTTAATTTAGTCCTTCTTGTTGTGCTATTAGATCAAATAGGACCAGTTACTAGGATTGAGTCTTCAATAGACAACTGTTCTACTATTAATGTTTCTTGGAGTGCTCCTAAAATAGATCGTGATGATTTAGCAATAACACATTATGTGCTGAAAATACATGATGATATCACTGGCCAATTATTAACAAATGTATCAGTATATAATACCAGTTATCAGTTTGTGGATAAAAAATTATTTATTCATCGTTATACATATGTTATAACTGGAGTTAATGAATTAGGAGAAGGAATATCTAATAATAATACATTCTCATATCAAAGAGGTACTACTGGTTTTTATATTGAACAATCACCAATTGAAATTTTATAGTCCCTCAATCAGTTAAGAATACTACTGTGGCTTTTAGCAACTACACTCAAAACACTGTTATTCTCCATTTCAATATACCAGTAAGAGATGCATAAATTTTTTGTTTGACATAATGTTACAGATTATAGTTGAGTGTACTGGTGAAGCTCCTGAGAACGCTACTGTTACTATACAGTGTAATGGAACTGTTATATTTCATAACATATATCTTATAGTGAATTATCAAAATAATGTAACAGGATTAGTACCAATGCCACATTATAAATCTAGCTGCTCAGTTATAATTGTATTTAGTAATGCTATTGGTAGAAGTGAACCATTTTTATTAACATTTGGTAAGTCTAGATCTATCATGCAGCATAATGTAATGTAATGTATTATTTATAGAAACTACTACTAATGTTACTATCAGTGATACACAATCATCTTCAAAAGTATCTATGCCAGGTTACAATTAACATTCTAACTAAACAATTTATTAATTTTATTACACAGTTCTTGCTGGAGCTATTATTGGTGGCATTTTTGCTATTCTAGTACTAATAATTTTTACATGTATTTTGGTATTCTTATGTTATTGTATAAAGAAAAGAAAATTACCCAAAGATGAAGTAAGTCTAGTAAGTTATAACTATTACATATTCACTATCATCGTGACCTTATGGATTTGATTGTTTAGTCTCCAAAAGCATATAACCCAATCACCACTGAAATTGGACCTCTTGATGCATCTGAAATTGAGCCTCATCATGTGTCTGAAACTGGACTTCATGATGCATATGAAACTGGACCTCATGATGTGTCTGAAATTGGACCTCATGATGCATCTAAAACTGGACCTCATAATATGTCTAAAACTGGACCTCATGATGCATCTAAAACTGGACCTCATGATGCATCTGAAACTAGACCTCATGATGCATCTGAAACTGGACCTCATGATGCGTCTAAAATTGGACCTCATGATGCGTCTGAAACTGGACCTCATGATGCGTCTAAAATTGGACCTCATGATGCATCTGAAATTGAACCTCATGATGCATCTGAAATTGGACCTCATGATGTGTCTGAAAGTGATCAGGTAAATTTTATGCATAACATTTAAAGTGCACCTGTCCAGTGAGTTTTATCTATAATTTAATTTGCTTACATTTTAAAAATATGACCTGTATCAACCATAAAATGAATATTAAATAGTTACAGATCCAATTAAAATATTTTGTATATTTTAATTTCCTTATCATTGGCCACCATATTTTCAGCCTTTTCTACTACCCTGTTTCTATAGAGCTGTTATATTGTCTCTTCAAGTATGAGATAAGTTGTTTTTTTTGTTTTAGAGTGATGATGATCATGATGATAACTCTACTGATCAACCAGTATGTTCTATAACAATGTGCACAAAATAATTTTGCTGTTATTTTTGTAGCTTCTCATGAAATCCAGGATGGAATCAAAATCATTTGAACTAGCAGTAAGTTAAGCAGCAACTTGAATAGTCTCGCCCCGTCCCCTTTGCTACTTGCGGGTAAGCGAAGGGTCAGGGAGAGACTACAACTTGAGTATCATAAAATGATTTAGTGTGCATGTAAGATTCTACAATAAAAGAAGTAAGTATTAGGATTTATGTACACTCAGGAATTTCTATAGATATATATAGATCTACCCATACCTTGCCACATATGATAGTCTGGGATGGGGCCAGGCTAATTTCAAACACAGTTAGTTAAGTTAGATTTTTTACACTTAATTTTTGCAAATCATGGGGTGCAAGCTAGTTGCCATAGGGGTAGGAATGAGTTGAAAGTTAAAGGGACTTGATTAATGCATTAATAATATGACCCATTGAATATGTTAAAGTTGAGGTGCTTAAAGTCTGGTTTTCATATAGCTCTAAAAGGCTAAAACACTGCAACTTAATTGCAATATATAATCAAGCCTATGCAGGTTGTACACATGCTAACCAAAATTTTAGCCCCTCCTACCCCTATTCCTATCTCTATGAGAGCTGAGATGAAAGCTTTAATTTCTTCGAATTATATATGATTTGTTGCTTTAGGATGATGCTGATGACAATTCTGCTGATCAATTGGTAAAAAGTATACACAAAAATAATTATTATATATCAGTTTTATTCATTTGTAGTCTACTAAGAAATCAAGCACAATACCATGCGTAAGTTTTAAAGCAGCTATGTTGTTTTAATGTAAGATTCTGCAGTAAAACAAATAACTATTATAATATTCTAGGATAGGACAAGCTAAATTTACAAAAAGTTATTGTCTAATTTGTTTGTTTTAAACTTGCAATAGCAAGCGTTAAGCATTGTTAGAAGCTAAATTCATATCAGTTACTTTTGTGATTGCAAGCAATTAGTGCAGGAGCTATGGATTAGATTCATTTGTAAAATTTTACCCTGAAAAATATTAATCAGTGGTCTATTCTGACTCAGTAAGTGATCAGAATTTTGGGAATTTTTGCCCAATACACATACATGTATTTAACTTTTTTATTGTTGTTAAGCAAAGCTTTAAATTAGTGTTTTTGCAATGTTAATCTATTGGTTTTAAATTGTTTTAAAAGACTAAAGGCTTTAATCTGGTATGTTTTGTACAATACACTGTATACATAATGTTGGTTTAATTAATGTATTTTTTAATTATTTTACAGAACTCAAAGACCTCCTTCGGTATGTTTTGCATAGTATACATGTATTTTCACTATTTTTATAGAGGGGAAAACTAGATATAGTTCTATGAAAGTTCAATCGGTATGTTTACAAAATTATTGTCTTAATCTACTTTTTATTGTTTTAAAATACTGGAAACCTTTTAAAATTGTTAATAGTATACACGTACCAGTATAGTATCATTTTCATTGTTTTAGAAACCTAAATTTGCTAAAAGCCTTGAATTAGTATGTTTTAAAAATATACAGACATCAATGTGCTTTTTATTTATTGTTTTAGATTTTAGAGCCGGAACAAGAAGATTCAATTTAGAGAGTATTTTTTGGCTCAGGCACTATTCTTATAATGTACAATGTACATGTATGTAGAGTAGTGTTGTTTTAGTAAGATTATCTATTGTATTTGTTTTAGTTTTAGTTGTATAGTTTTTTGTTCCTTTTTTTGTTTTTATTATAGTGAATATGCAATTAAAAATAATTTATAGGCACATACACATTCATAATTTTGTTAATTTTTATCCTAAATCCTGATTAAAATTGCTACTATGCATTGCAATGTTGTAAAACGTCTTTAGTTGATTTGTTACTATAAAGCACAGTTCACCAAACCCTCTGACAATGGCTTCGGAATGAGTAAGTTCAAATTTTTAGTTTATATTTTCTTTAGCTGCTCTTCCTCTCCTGTTCAGGTGATTACACTCCATTGCATCAAAATTTTGTCAAAAATGAATTCTCCATTCTTAATTTTTTTCTAATACATACACATATTCTTATGTAGTGTAAAAAGGTTGAGCAAATTCCAACTGAAACTGGTTTTGTAATGAATTTTTAAAGTTGCTCAAAAATTGGGTCAAAGTCCCTGTACTGTAGTAGTACAGCGTCTTTGGCCAGATTTTGTCAAAAATGACAAGGTAAAAATTTTGATTTTGTAATTTTGCTGATATGTATACGTGTTGCTATGTTGTATAGAAAGTTTGAGTGGATTTTAATCACATTTACCTTTTAAAAAATTTTTAAAGGTGCTCAAAAAATGTACCAAAGTCCATATACTATAGTACAAGGTCTTCAGCAAAAAATTTTAAAATGACTAGCTGAGATTTTCCATTTTTACAACTTTTTCTGATATTTATGAACTTGTTTTGTAGAAAGTTTGAGTGGATTCCGATGAAGATTAATTTTCTATGAATTGTTAAAGAGGCATGTACTATTGCAGTGCTCTCAGCTCATGAAGCATCCTGTTTAGTTCACTTATCATTTTTGTGGTAAACCCTGATGGCAAGCAATTTCTTGTCTTTGGTACTTGAAACACAGTATTGCTGCTTGTGTAATTGAATTTTCTTTTAATTTTAGTTCTTGCTTTATTGTCTGGTACATATGACCCCTGGGTCTTTTTAAAGGTTAGTATTAGCATAATAACAGTGAATGTAATTATTTCTAATAGTATGCAATGGTAAGCTTTAATACATAAAAAGTTTTTGTATTTTTAATGTTTTGCAATTTTCTGACCGGATTATTTGGAATGATGGTAAAGGAAACTATTTTTAGACTATTGTCTCACCATTTTATTGTACAGAATCTTTTGTACCAGTTGTCTATCATTTCAGCAAAGGAAACAACTTATTTTGATTCTAAAGGATTGGCAGCTTTTGATCAAAAAGACACTAGATCTACTTTAGTTTGCTAGTAGCCTAGTACAATGTATATAAGCCTCATTGAACTTTAATAATTCATACATTATTATTATAGAGACAGACAAAAATTGTCAGTTGTGACTCAACCTAGAAATATAAAGACTTTCTTTTATAACAGCAGTCACAGGGAACAGGACTTCGGTTCAATTATTTTATTATTATTATTTCAACATCAACAAGTAATGTTATAAAGAAATAAAATAAAATAAAACCAAAGGAAAATATTGAAAATTTAAGCATTTTTACTGACTGTGATTTCAAGACATGTTATAAAAAGTTAAACTTGTAAACTCGGCAAAAAATTGTCTGATGTAATAATATTATTATTAATTACAAGTAGTTCTAGCATAAACAGAATCCTACAAAGTATCACACCATTACCGTTAACTATGTCATTATCCACATACCAGCTAATAGAATCAAAGCAAGAGTAATTATAGATGCTTGCAAACTTTTAGCCGAAGATGGTAGGCATTTAGGCAATGAATTGCTTGCCTCATTATACATTCCCTTTGCTGTTAGTATACTAGTTGCTGCATCCATTCCACTGCAGTAGGCACCATGGATTGCACCACCATGTTCAATACTGTTAGCTTCACCACTGAAGTACAGCCTTCCTTCTGGCATTGCAAGATTCCGTTTATCATCAATTGTTAGAGTAGTAGGATTATTAGAATACATACCAAGAAAAAACTCATCAGTATTCCAGGCATAATATTCAATATCATCATTAGTAATTTCAGGAATGTTATCATTGTTATACCATTCGCGTAATACAGCAACAACCTCTTGCCTCACCTCATCCTTGCTAAGGCGTGATATCCTCAATGCTTCATCACCAGTGACACTCATGAGTATAATAGGAGGTGACCCAGGGAGTGATGCTCCAATTGGTTGTAGAACTGGATAATACCCACGCCTTGTTGAATTAGTATGAAAAGTGTAGTGATAATTGGTATCCCAAAAAACACTTGGAAATCTAACAAATATCTTCAAATAGAGGCCCATTCTTGAATTAGTAATAGCTCTCATTTTTGCACTGCTAAGGCTACCATTGAATTTATTGTTTGCAATCCAATTCTGCAGTACACCAATAGAAAATGTAACGATACCATAATCTCCACACATTCTGCCTTGCCCCATAACCTCAGCACATACACACTCATCATTCCAGTCAATACTAGTCACGACAGTATTTGTTAATATTTTATTCTGATGATCAAAATTAGCTATGCACTGTAGCACTGAAGCAAAACCTCGTTGATCTGTCACTATGAAGCACTGGTCGCCAAAATTGATATTATCATTTTCGGCAGTTAAAGACACTACAGATTCTTCCGGAGTTGCAGCATAAGCAAAATCAAACTCACTCCATTCAACCAATTGCTTCAAGGGGGAATCTGGACGCCAGTCGTTCATGTTCAGTCCTTGCCTGACAGTGTTAGTTCCAGTAGTTGCGACTGCTTCCTCATACTTTGTCATATATTCCGTCACAATGTTATCAACATTGACAGTTTCAAATTGTTGTCTATTATTCAAATCCATGTAGGTAGCACTCGATGTAAAACTTCCCTGAAATTCATCGCCCTGTACATAGCAGCCTGAATGGCGAGCCAGTGTCCATATTGGATTGTCGTTATTGCTTCTGCTCCCAGTATTAGCGGGTGCTTCGTGGATCCAGTTTGCACCCACCTCGATCTGAACCCCTTTAAAAGTAATGTTTCTTATTCTACCCCCAATTTTGTCATACGCCTCTAGTACTTTGAAACTGTTCAAGTTTTGATCACTGAGCACCCTAGCTGCCGTCACTCCAGCCGTACCAGCACCAAAAATAAGAACTTCGGCGTCTTTTTGAGATGGGCACGTCAAAGAGGAGGCGGTTTTGATAACGAGACAAGTTAGAAAGGACACTACAAGAAGACGATCCATTACCATGACTAATCAGTAATCAACTAACCTATTGAGGAAGGAAGAAATTTCAGGGCAGCAACCAAGGCAACCAGTCCCCGCCCAGTAGGTGTGTTCATAGCAAAATGGCGACTTTGTGAGGCTATGGTGGGACAAAGTTTGGAGTGCTTTTAGCAGCAAGAAAAACCAAGATAATATGCAAAGACTTCATTAAAGGTAGAGAGAATTTTAATAAGTTTTATAACTACTTAAAAGTCGTGAAATTAATCCTAGAATTTTTTTAATTAAATTTAATTAACCCTACCTTGAAATTAGTGAAGCTTAAATTTGTCACTCAATTTTTTAAGAGCGAACCTTTTGAATGTAAAAATAAAAGTTTATACAGTTTTTGCTACCTACAGAGGAGGCTGAGGTGCTTTTATTGTATTTCTTGAATATTCTTTTCTTTATTACCATGTAGCTGGAAATTAATTTTTGTGAAGGACTTAACTTTCGCCAATTTAGTGGTTTTGTTGTGATTCACAAAATTAAAATCTGAAAAAAAATTATATTTTTAAAAGTCATTATATTATTTTTTTTAATAACAACAAGAAAAATAACACAATCGCTAATAGAGAACATAAATACAGAAATAAAATACTTAATAAAGTTATAAATTATAATGAACACACAGTTTTATACAGGAGAGAAAGGAAGAGTTATTATTATTATTATCATCATCATTATTATTATTGTAACTGGAAAAAGTGATTTGTGAGTGGATCCACAAAGTTTAATCCCTCAAAAGTTTCTGGCCATACTTATCATGCTCAATGAGACTAGGGCATTTCCAGCAGTTGCGTAATTTTATCAGATTCGTCATTAATTTTTTATTTTATATGATAAATTTATAGTTTAGAATAAGTGCAACTTTAGCAACATACAAAGATATGAGTCATACTTTTAAAGCTATTTTCTAAAAAAATTGACCACCTCCAATTACTGCCAGAAATGATTCACCCAGAGCCACCCTATACACACAGCAATTATAGTTCACGTAGTCTATAGTCGTTGAAAATTGATAAAAAAACAAACCTGCTCATACAGTATAGCGGGAAATTTTGGAGGGAATTAAATTTAGCGAATTTGGCATTTAGATAGCCGTTCGCCAAAATAAAATCTGCCATTTTGAGCCATTATTTGCATGCTCAATGGCACATGGCCACAAATTTGCCAAATTGAAATTCACCATTCATCAAAATTTAGCAATTCGCCAAATTTTAGTCCCTCCAAAATTTCGCGCTATACGGTATGACCGTAGTCTTGCTAGCTTGACCATTCCCCAGCCTTTAGTCATTTGGGTGGACTGCTGGTAGGCTGGAAAATGATTAGGCTTGTGTGACTAGCTCACCTGCCATCATTAGGTTTGTATTTGTACTAAAACTATCGTAATTGTTGATAAGTTTAAGTTATTTTTTGAACTCTTTCATGCATAGATTACACTGCGAGCTGTGTTCACCTCTCCCTCCTCTCACTGGACAACTTTCTGTGATTTGTTTGAGGAAGTTGTTCAAGTAAGTACATGTATGTCTAATTGCTCTTGTTTTACTGATTACCCCCTTTGGTTTCTTAATTTATGCAGTTCTGCTTGTGTAATTGAATTTTTTTATTTTTGTTCCTGCATGCTTCATTGCCTGGTACATATGACCCCAGGCTTGGCTCTTATTTGTATGATAGTAGTGTTAATATTTGTATGATAGTAGTGTTAATATTAGATGAGAAGTTTCTTGTATTTGCAATTTTCTTACCATTATTTTGAATTACGGTGTCTTTTTATTTTTTTATTGTATAGAACATTTTGCACTATTATAGTTGTCTATTATTCCAGTAAAGGAAAGGTTGATTCAGCAGCTTTGGCTGAAAGGTACATTGTCTCCCAATTATACTTGCTAAATGCTAATGGGCTACTACTAGAATGAACAAATGTGATTTACGTCAACTGAGACAACTATAATGGCCAATGCAAGAAGCAGGACTTCAGTTCAAATGTACATTATTAATGGTTCAACATATCAGAAGTAATATCGTATTATTATTTTTAGTATTATTATTGTTATTAGAAGTCTACACCCATGCACTATTATAATGCTAGATTTTTAGCAACAGGGACTACTGTTTTGTGGGTTATGAATAATTCCTTCCATTTTGTTTTTTTTTATTAAAAGTAATTTTTATTGCAATTTTTAAAATTGTGAAACGTACAAAACTCATGACCCCATGCGGTATTTATATTTGAATACTGTAAGAATGAAGCTGTTTTATTAGCAGCATCTACCTAACACTACTACCAATTCTGTTGAATTTGCTGTTTATTTATCAATTTTAAAATATCTAGTAACCAAAATTTTTTTTACTGAGTATCAGTGAGTTCCTTATAGATCATAATTGTGCA